TCTTTCTTTCTTTCTTTCTTTCTTTCTTTCTTTCTTTCTTTCTTTCTTTCTTTCTTTCTTTCTTTCTTTCTTTCTTTCTTTCTTTCTTTCCTTTCTTTCCTTCTTTCTCTCCTTCTCTCTTTCCCTTTCTCTCCTTCTCTCCCTCTCCCTCTCCTCTTCTCCCCAAACCCTCCTAGCACTGATGATGTTCCCTAGCTGGGTCACAAAATGTCTACAAGAAAACCGCCCAGTTTGGACCCCACCACCCCATCGGTTTTTTTCCCTCCTCCTCGTCCCTGCGGAATTCTGTCTAGTTTAATAGAGGTAGTCCTCAGCTTTACGACCCTTCTGGACATAGACATGGCCTGGAAAGAACTGCTCTTCCAAAGGGAATCGCTTCTCCACTGTTACATCCTCAAAATTTTGGTGAGTGGCATGTCCTGGACTTCCGACGGTTGGAGCTGTCCCGGTGTTAGATGATCCCTTTTAACGACCTTCTGATGAGGGGGGGAGGAAGCTGGATTCACTTAGCAACCAGCTGAGTTGACCGCAGCTATTCACTTAATATTGGCAGTGAAAAAAGATCATAAAATTCACCCCGAATTGTTCAACGACTGCAATTCTGGTCTGCATTGTGGCCGCAGGCCCGGCAATTTTATCTAGAGTCCTTGACTTACAACCATCCAGCAGCCTGCCCATTATGGTCATAAGCTGAGACGCTCAGTAAAACAGCTCCCTCCTATGACCAGACAAATCTTACGACCTTGGGGTTAAAAACGACCTGATGATTGTTAAGCTAACCCCCATGGCCGTTAAGCAAAGCCTTGGATCGCTAGGGGGGAAATTTCCCTCCCCCCCACAAAATAAACCTTGGTGAATTGCCACAGTCCTCAGTCTTACGACCGTTCGCTTAGCGATCGTTTGAAGTGACGATGTGGTGCCAAACGTTTCCAATGAAGACCTTACTAAAATTTCATTGAAGAATAGAAGGCGAGATTGGCTTCACACACGGGGCCAGAACTCACTGAATGGATGTCTCACTTAGCGACATGCTTTTGGCACGATCCTAAGTCGAGGACTCTCTCCACTGGAGGCAGGGGGTGGTCATCAGTACCAGGTCCTTTTTAAAGTGGGAGGGGGAGTTGTCCCGTCCTGACTTTCAATAGTCGCTAAATAAGACTTCTTAAATCCAGATCATGTGCTGTTCTCTAAAACTACAATTCCCAGCATCCCTTGGGTAGTGGCAGTTGCCATTCCTTTTTCTGAGGTAAACTCCTCCAAGGAACCGAGGTCACATGACTCTTGAAATGAAATATAGATAGATAGATAAGATATAGATATGTTCCATTTAAAATCCCACCATTTGAAAACAGAAACAAAAAAAATGTCGAAAAACTAAGTTTAGGATGGGGGGGAATCAAAGAGACTCCTCCCCAGGTTAAAAAAGGAACATCGCCTCTCCCACCCTGGCGTTCCCACCTATAGTTTAGTCCACCGAAGTGCAGAAACCTTCTGCGGGGAAAATGTCTCATTTTGTGTCGGGGGGGGGAGTCACAAAGCAGGGAGGAAAAACGGGGCTCCTAATTCTAGAAGGGACCCGACCTTGACGGACCGTTCGAGAACGTGAGCTGTAAAAATTACCCCGTATTGGGGGTGCAAGACCTTCCCCCCGCTAAATGGGTACCGAACTCCTTGACCGAATGGCAGAGCAGTAGGTTCAGAGCTCAGCACCCATAACCGAACGGCATTAACGAAAGAAGCAACTCATGCACAGCTCCCTTCCTCGCAATCCCACTTTAGAGTGTATAGGAGGGAAGGGACGACACCCGCAGGAATTACAGGCAGTCCTCAACTTACAACACTTCATTTAGTGACTGACATTACGACGGCACTGAAACAAGTGACACGGGATCATTTTTTTCCCACCCTTACACCCTTCGCCCTCGGAAAAAGGACCGGTTTTCAGAAATGATGACCATCACAGATCCAGGTCACGTGATTGCCATTTGGACTCATGGCCCACTGACTCGTATTTACAACGGTTGGGGGTCAGGCAATCCCTCTTTGCCAACCTTCCAACGAGCCCAGTTGAAAGGGAAGAGAGATTGGCTTGGCAAAAGCGTTGTGGATGGAACGATGGCGCCAATCCATTTAACGATGGGGGGGGGAGGCAGGTGGTAAAATGGGATGAAATTCCCCACAAACCCTGTCTCACTTAGCTGCAGGCATGCTGGGCCGGATGGTGGTCATTTCGAGGAACGACCTATAGGGAAAGGTTTCAGAGGAACTGCAGGGCAGACTGACTCACTGAAGGCGTGCATTGATTCGCTTAACGACAGTGGCAAGGCAGGTCATCAAATGGGGTGAAATTCACTGAACCCGTTCTCGCTCAGCCACGGAAATTTTGGCCTCGATGCCGGTTGTAAGTCGAGCTCAAAAAAAGTCAGAAAAGGTGGCCACGAAAATACCAAGAATTTGGATGGCAGGCCCGTGGCACCCATCTTGACTTTTTTTACTTACTCCACCTGGACTAGACATCTCTGGATTGGTTTCTTAGCCAGTCCTTAAGTTACGAATCGTGACACCCTCCCCGTTTTCAAATCACTTTTGAATTCACCTCTGCACGTCTGTCTGAACTGGCCTCATTCTCCATTTTGCACAGTCACTTCTTGCACGCTCGGAAATTCAAAACAAAGACGGAAGATGGACCCTTGGTGAAGGTGGGGGCTACATAGATAGGTAGGTAGATAGGTAGATAGGTAGGTAGGTAGGTAGATAGATAGATAGATAGATAGATAGATAGATAGATAGATAGATAGATAGATAGATAGATA